AAAAAAAATAGGTTCCAAAAATCAATAACTAGAAAGATACATTTAAAATAACTCTAAATGCTCAAATTACATAGAATTTTATGACCTTAATGTATGTTATTAGCTTAGGCAAATCAACCCAAAATTCATGAATAAAGTGTTTAGGATTGATTTTCTATTCTTTGTTCGACCCGATTTTAAAGAGTCTTACTCGAGAGACGCGATCTGAGAATGAAATTTTTTCAATACTTGGCTACAAAACTTCTTCACAATGTTCATATTCTCGAATGACTAGAAAAACCAAAATGCGCGTAGAAGTAATGTGGTGACAGGCTTTTATCGGCCGGGAAGTACAAAAGAAGTTGAAAAAATGCAATTTCTTATCCAGCACAAGTAAATCCCAATTTCACTATTACTACTTTTTAGCGCATCGCACGAGATATGTACTAGATAGCATCCTTATCCAGCCAAGGCAATTTTCGAAAATGCTTAGTGAAAATCAGTGACTATAAAGGCCGGTCACAACTACTGACCGGCTGCTTGAATTTTCAAGTTCCTTCTTTGGCGCAACTTGGAATAGGCTTCCCAACATGCAGTCAAGTGCCAATGTACAACATCGTTAATTGTTGTATCGTGGATCATGATAATCGACATATAATATAACAATAGATCGTCATACATAAAACCGTACAAGATTTTATTAAAACCGAAACTAATAAAAATATATATACACCAGTACAGTTCGTGTCCATTATTTGTGGAAAGACATACAAAGTGTGAGGATATATCACACAATCTTTATTCCTTATTTCATGTTTCCTGTCAAACCTTAAAATAAAAACAAAGAGAAACAGAGGAGAGAAAGAAAACGAAGAAAAAAAAAAGATATATTAATATCTTTTTCTTACTTATATGATTCGAGTACATTGCTCTTCACGCTTCCAACCAACACGGCTGAACGCTCCAGCCACTCGGCTCGAGTTCGAGCAGCCCATTAGCCTTTCCCACGGACTTCAATTCGGACACAAGATAGCCCACCTTGTCAGCAAGTGCGGGACACAACTCCCCGTCGAAGCTTATCCTGACGACAGCTTTGCACGGGATGCTATCGAACCCGTACAAAACGTACTCAAGCTCCGGGACAGTAATGTTGAAAATCCCTCGCTTGTCGGTTCTGTTCTGGTTGTTGGAATTAACTTTAGGCGAAATACATCGTTTTAATCCAAGAGCTTTCATATCGAATAATTGAGAATCAAAACTGAATAGCGGAAGCGTACCTGAATCCATAGGTGATTAATTTGGGGATTTGGCCTTCTAGGTCTATACGATCGTGTACCTTTCAGAGAACCCTTTAGCTT